AAATCTTAAATAAATATTAAAGAAAAAAAAAATCGAAACAACTATAACTTACTATTCGAAGAAGACGACGGCGGCGGCTTTGGGCGACGTTGGGCGGCGTGGGCGGCGTTAGGCGGTGTTTGGCGTCGGCGTCCGGCGGCGGCGATGGTTGGGCGGCGGCGGCGGCGTCGGGCGGCGTGAGGTTGACGGAGGGAGTTTTTGTGTTTGATTTTTTTTTTCTTTTTTTTTTATTTGGTTTTCAAATAGGTAATTTCAAAGAAAAATTAATGTAATTAGTATTTTGTATGAAAGGGTATTTTTGTACTTTTATTTTTATTTTGGTATTAAAGTAAGAAAAAACTTAAAAATATGTACTCAATTGTGGTTTTCAACTAGGTAGTATTCAACTAAGCAAAAATTAGTATTCAAAATAGTTGCCCCCATTTGCAAATGTTTTGCCATATGTCAACTTGAGGTAAAAAAAAACTTGACATATTGCTTCGATAGTGTAAAAAAAATCAATTTTAGAGGACCAGTTGTTACCAATTTGATATAATTTAGCTGGAATGAGAGATATATACGTGTATAATATATATATCATTGGTTATAAGGCCGGATTGTAGCTGGACCAGTTCTCTCTCAAATATATCCACCTATTCAACACCTATTTGCAACTAAGGAAAACTTTATCCTAAAATTACTTGTAATTCCTTGAAACTCTAATTTATACATAATTTTATGATTTAAAGTCTAATTTAGCCAAATTTTATCAATTAACCAATTTTGACCCCTAACCCGATTTTGACAGTAATTGTCGGTGACCACCGGTCAGTTGCCGTTGACTCGTTTTTTTTTTTTTTTTTTTTTTTTTTTTTTTTTTTTTTTTTGTTTCGATTTTTTTTCCGGGGGTTTCCGACATTGACAATTGGTATTTATTTTTTTTATTTTGATTTTTTTAATGAAAACTCTTTTCAATAATATTACTGTGTCAATATTAAAAATACTGTCTTGACTCTAATTAATATTAATTTTATTATTCCAGACAATAATATTGTTGTTAACACAATCATATTATTGTATTAATTTTCCGAATGCTCGGAAAAATATAAAAATTATATATTTCTGAAGATCATAAATTTCAAGTTAATACGAGTGCCATTCGAAATTTTTCAATTTAAAAAACTGGAAATTTTCGATTCAGTCACCTGCTAAATTGAGAAACATTTCCAATTTAGAAAGCTCTCTAAATCTCCACAGATTCTCTCCATATTTATTCTAATTCATAATTCACAATTACGTATTTCGGATTCATATCGTATTGATATCCAACTATAGTACGATTAACAACTTAATCATAGCTCGTTGTAATCAAGGGTCTCTAGGAAACGGGAAGTGTAACCCTCAGTGGTTCAGTTGTAAGCTAGCCGTGAGCCCATAGCTTATTGTGATTCAAACTCGTTCGTAGAGTTATTATTAAGATGAAACACATTTCAAGTTAATTGCCCAACACATTAAGATTGACCTCTGGTAACTATGCGTCATGATTCCCTATATACAAATAAAGTGTCTGCAAGAACCGTGTGATATAGTTAACGTATAGTACGATCCTTCGATACATATGTCGCGATTGAATTGTGTTAATTTTCCTAGTAATATAATCTATTTGTGTATGACTTAGAGAAACACATTTCCATGATCATCACACAATCAGCTCTGGCCAGAGACTCTGTTGAATATAAACTATAAGAACACAGAGGACATCCATGACTAACCAAGCGATCGAACCCCCTACTACAATACACAGACTTCACACTAGTTTTTTATTACACGGACATTGCTCCTTGGAGCGGTCTTCGATGAGACTCAGGGACAAGTCATGATATTGTTTGGTCCTCTAGTGAAGTCACAGTGATGTTTGGGCTCTTAAGAATTAATGGTGTAAAACTATATCATAGAAATCTTTCGATTATTGGGAACCACGTGGAGATTTATAGGATGAGGGAGTTCATTGAACACCATTGAACACGTGGAGATTTATAGTGATGTTTGGTGCTCTTAAGAATTGAGCACCATTTATGTATGTCGATATTACAATACCGATTACTGATGAGATGCAGTACACATACACAAAATGCTAGTCTCAAATGAGAAATGTCGGTATCCTCATTAATGGCGTAACCCGTTGACTATGAACTAATTTAACCGTTACATTACTCTTATTAAATTATCTCATGATTCAACTAGATCATTTAATAGTAAATAGAGTAACTGTAAGTATTATATATATCCACATGCAAGGGACAATAATAGATATAGAATGCCAAAAAGAGTTTTATTATTAATGTGAAATAGATTGTTTAGACAAGTACATGAAAAACCACAACCTCAAGTTGGCTTACTGGTCATATACTCTAACCATTATGTGGACTTGAGCCAATCCAAGCTCGACTCATATTGCCCAATTGATAACCGTACATGTAAGACCGACAATTGAGTTGGGCCTAATTGAAACCCGATGGCTCGGCCCGGTTATATTTGATTTGAGCCTACGTTTTAGTGAGTCAGGTCGAGTTTGAGCTATTTTATTAATTCGATTTATTTATGAGCTGAGTTTGAGCCTTCCATGGCTCAACCCAAATAAAGTCCGACCGATTAAGTAAATATTACAACATATCTCTTTTTAGTTCTTTAAGTCTTGTTTCTAAGTTTTTCCAATAAGTTGCAAAGATCGTTTAGGGTTTCTTTGGTTTCAATGGAGGTAATCTTGTTTATCACTTGTTTTTCATAAGATTTTTTTTTAGTCATTAAGTTCTATAGTAATTAGGCCCGATATAAACTTGAAACCTGAAAAAAATACATGAGCTTATACTAATAAGGTCCGATGGTATATGAGTTTGAGTCTATAGTAACGATGTCTGCTGGTATGTGAGTTTGAGCCGACCCAAGCTCGGTTCACGTAAACCGATTGCCAGTACCTACATGTGCACAACTAACAAATATGACAACTAATAAGAAAAGGATGGAGTAAACATTAAATACTTTTTGTTAGTGAAGAAACTACTATTATTGTAAGGAGTCATAATACTACTCGGGGGACTTGTGATAATTTTCTAGTACAAGTTAGTAATTAATTACACTTATTAGTCACCAAAATAAAAATCCATAAATAAATATATAAATAAATTTGATCCAAAAACAAACATTAATTAAAATATCCCACTAGCTTCACTCATATTCATTAATGCTGCAACCTAATTCCCACAAGCTTACAAGCAAACCCAATCAATTACGTAAAAGCTTCACTTTCACAGTTCACTGAAAATAACCCACCACACATGGACAATACTAATTCCCTTCTCCCATTTTTTCTCCTCCACATTTTTATTGCCACCGAAGCCGCACTAATTGTCGGTGGCGGTGTAGGCATCGGCGGCGCCGGCGGCATTGGCGGCGGCGGTGTCTGGATCGGCGGAGGAAGAATCACTCCTTCCGCTTCAGACATGAACAGGGCATACAATGCCCTCCAGGCATGGAAATCCGCCATTACAGACGATCCACTCGGGGTTACAAAATCATGGGTCGGCCCGAATGTATGTTCTTACAGAGGTATATTCTGTTCAGATTCACGGGATTTCATCGGAAACCCCGCCGGCAAAGTTGTCTCCGCCGTAGATCTCAACCACGCCAATCTGCAAGGAACCCTCGTCGGAGAACTCTCCTTCCTCACAGATTTGTCCATTCTCCACCTCAACAGCAACAGGTTCAGCGGCGGCGTGCCGTCGTCCATCAGAGAACTCACTTCCCTCACCGAACTGGACCTCAGCAACAACCGCTTCTCCGGCCCTTTTCCGGCGGCGGTGCTCTACATTCCCAACCTCGTCTACTTAGACATCAGGTACAACTCATTCTCCGGCCAAATCCCGGAAGATCTGTTCAACAGGAAACTCGACGCCATATTTCTCAACAACAACGAATTCTCCGGCGAACTCCCCCAGAATATAGGGAATTCTCCGGCGTCCGTGATAAACCTGGCGAATAATAGAATCACCGGGAATATTCCTTTCAGCTTGGGGTATATGGGGATAAAGGAAATCCTGTTCCTCAACAATCAGCTGACCGGTTGCATACCCGAAGGACTCGGTATGTGGAACGATTTGCAGGTTCTTGATGTGAGTTCGAATTCTCTGATGGGCCACTTGCCGGATTCATTGTCTTGTTTGTCTGGGATTGAGGTTTTGAATTTCGCGCACAACAAGCTGTCCGGGGAGTTGCCGGATTTGGTATGTTCTTTGCGGAGCCTCTTGAATTTGACGGTGGCGGCCAATTTCTTCTCCGGGTTGAGCCAAGATTGTAATAAGCTGTTTTTTCGAAATGTGGGTTTTGATTTCTCGTTTAATTGCATTCCCGGGAAGGAGATGCAGCGGCCGGAGCCGGACTGCTCGGCGGTGCACGGCGGCGGGCTCAGTTGTCTGAGGATTCCGTCGCCGCCGAGGCCCCTTGCCTGCGGGAGGTTGATTGGGGCCCACATTACGGCGAGTTCAGTCCCGTGACGGCGGAAAGCGTGTTTTGTGTTTTGAGGATGCAAAGTGACGACTTTTATGTTAGTGAAAAATAGGGTATGCAGGTATTAATTGGGTGTGTCCCTCTCACTAATGTATTATTGGCTATCTTTTGGATAAGACCTGTCGGATAGTTGTAGTTGAAAATTGACAAATTAAATTATGTACCATATTTTGGTTGTGTTTAGAGAGCCATGTGGAATTGGGTTTTTAATTCCTATTAATGTTTATAAGTCAAAGTTTGGATAATTTAGTGTCTGTACGTGACATTATTGTTTTGAACAGAAATATTAAAAACATTATATAATAGGGGAAATTACTTAGAGGCGACTCAAAAATATTTTCCATAACTATAAGCACAGGCGAATTTTTTCTTATTACTAAAGGTCTCTATGTGCTCCGCCTTTAATGGAATCGCTGACGAAATTAACAGTGACGACAACGCGGTGATTTGCACAATTTAGTTATATTAATAGTAACAAACTTAGTTAATAACTTAATATACAGTGAAGGAAAAACTAAAACAAGAATAAATGATTCCCACTATATATTCACAGTTTAGGTGCACCACTTAGTTATATTAATAAATAATAACTTAGTTAAAATACAATGAAGAAAAAATTAAAACAATAATACATGTTTCTCACACACATACACAACTTACACATACATCGTAGTTACACAACTTAGACAACGAAATTACACAGCTTAGACAACTTATTTGCATAACTTACTTAAATACACTGAAGAAAAAAAAAAATCTCTGGTGCGTATCACTACCAACATTACCATCACCATTACCGAACAATTCTTCATATTTTTTTTCGTTTGATTTCCATGATTATTAGGTTACACCGAAAGATGAATGAGTGTAACCCAAATCGTATGTGTGTGTGTGTGTGTGGTTGCTTATGTCTGATGTGTGATTATGTGTGTGCGCCTGCGAGTGGTTGTGTGGCAGAATTTTTCAATGATGAAAGCAGCGTGAAGTAGGGATAGAGCATGTTTAACAGAGTGCAACGCAGCTTGGAGAGGATCTGATGGAATGTGGAGAGTTTGATGAACACAAGACTTTCAGCAAATTACAAATATTGATCTGTCACAATTAGAGCTTAGAGATATTTAGCAAATTGTCCCTATATAATACTTAATTTTCAGGGGTTTAGTACATAGTCCATTTCCAAAACAAGTCTAGTATGAATTTAATATAGTCAAGTCCAATTAGATGACTTTCCAAAACAAAACTTTGATCGCAACACACTATAACAGACTACCGTGTTCCTGCTTCTTCTTTTTTCCCCCCTTCATTATGGAAAATTTATTACAAACAATTAATGTTTGAACAAACTTGCATTAGAGCAAATTCAGCACTTGGGTTAAAATTTATTACTTCTTATTAAATTATAAACATTAGAGCAAATTCAGCACTTGGGTTAAAATTTATTACTTCTTATTAAATTATAAACAGTGAACGATGTTGTAGTACACTACTTTATCTGACTCACTCCAACAGTGATTGTTTATATTTTAATACATCACTTTAAAACATCACTATTCATTCCAATATATTTTTAAATACATGATTTTACATTTTATTATTATATTTCACATATTTGATGATATAATAAAAAAATTATTTAAAATAATAATAATTTAAATTTCAATTAAATAATTATATTTGAAGTGTTATATTTCAACGCCCATTTTACAATTGTACTGTGATTTAATTTGATTTTACGAAAATAATTTTGCCATTTCATCTTCTTGGTGTTTCAAATTTGACAAGCCGAATTTATAATATGCCATGTGGCCTATCATATAATAGAGTTACTGGAGCTCTAATTTTCAGTAAAAGTTGTAAAATTTACTGAAATTTAACATATAGCACAACTACTGGAGTTGCTCGTGAACATTTTAGCAGATAAACTTATGAAATTCTTGTAAGGTTCCGAAGATGGACAGCACGTGATTACGCAACATATAGTTACTACACGTGATTCTACTTATATTCGGATTCCATGTACCATATATGATATATCACAATGGCGAATTGCATGTTGAGCCAAATTTAATTGCATATGTATTTACACTAAAAATAGGTCTATAAAAACACCCATCTACTTAAAAACACCACTCATAGTATAAATATATCAATTTTATCCGATCCATGAAAATCTTAACTTAACAATATTTGCATATTTATCTTGATTTTAAAAAAATGGGGTAATGGCAAATAGGGCCATGACAAGGGCACTTAATTAAAAGAGGGGCATTCAATTTTTTTGTCTTTCAAATAAATCCAACCCATTCAAACTTATTTGCAAATAAGAAAAATCTTTTTATATAGACCAAAATTATCCCCAATTCATTGAAACCCAATTCAACTCCAATTTCATGATTTACACCACAATTTAGCCCAATTTCATCAATTAACCAATTTTAACCCTAATTTCAATTTTGACCCCAATTTTAACCCTAATTCTTATCAATTCCACCCATTATGCTCTAACTTCTTTAATATTACACATTGACCCCAGATTTCAACAAATATATCACGTTAACCCCCAAATTTTTTTTTTTCAGAAAATAATATTTTTTTCTGAAATATTATTTTTTCTGGCCAGATTCCGGCGTTGACTTGTTTTTTTTTTTAGAGAACTTTTTTTTTTCCTGAAATTTTTTTCCGACCGGTCAACCACCGTTGACCGCCGGTCTCCGGCGTTGACTTTTTTTTTTTTTTTGAATTTTTGTTTTCATAGAAAAAAATATATTTTAATTAATATTTCAGAAAAAAAAAACATTTCAGAAAAAAAATTATTTTTTGGAAAAAAAAAAAGTTTTGGGGGTTAATGTGATATATTTGTTTAAATCCGGAGTCAATGTGTAATATTAAGGAAGTTAGAGCATAATTGGTGGAATTGATAAGAATTATATTATTGATGGTATTTTAGACTAAAGACAAGGGGATGGGTTTAATTGAGAGACTGTTTTTTTTATGGACCAAAATGCATTTAAGTCCCATGTGATGGGCCTTTTTGCCATTCGCCCTAAAAAAATATATATTACATTACCCCCATTTTTTCCAATTTTTGACTTTTTCTTTAGAATTTCTTTTTTTTTTTCTAATTCTTTTTCCGCCTTTGACCAGTTGACCACCGGTCTCGGGAGTTGATTTTTTTTCCGAATTTTGTTTCCCTAAATTTTTTTGTTCGCTCCGTTGACTGGTAAACACAGCAAACCCTATCACCCAACAACTTCCAGCCGCCATGAACCCTACATCCAACATCTTTCGCCGTCAAACCCATTTTGAACCCTAGCCGCCACCAATTTTATAGACATTCATAGTAATTCGTAGACTGGCATAGTCATTCGTACTGATCCATATAACCCGAGATCTGCCACCACCTCCAATTATGAAAATGGATCAACGAATCTGCCCATAATCCTCGAACAGTTCTCCTTCTTCCTCTTCGTCACACTCTCCATCTTAACTAGCCTTTCCTCTTCCTCCAAACCCTACATACATCAAATTTCAACCAAAATCAACGCAACCGCCAGAGAAAATCACCGCCGTCGCCATCGACCAAAAGCACTGCCGCCCCCAACAACCAGAACTACTGCCGTCCACCAGCAACCAGAACGACCGCCGTCCCTCATCAAGATCCGATCTAAAAAATGCCTATGTGACCGGCCCCATAACAACCTCGAAAACAATATAGCCGTCATAACCATCCCAATATAACTGAGAGAGAGAGAGAGAGAGAGAGAGAGAGAGAGAGAGAGAGAGAGAGAGAGAGAGAGAGAGAGAGAGAGGGAGGGAGAGAGAGAGAGAGAGAGTTTCGGGCACTGAGTGAACTTCAGAATATCAACATATTACTAAATTAAAAATGAAATAAATTGAAAATGGAAAAATCAATTTAAGGAATTGAAAATCCTCGCCGGAATATTCAAATATTTTCTTGGCTATTTTCTTAATTCTTGATTCTTCATTTCAATCTTTTTAATTTGGCAAAAGATTATGGACAAAAGTAGTGTGTATACCGAAAGTTAATCTTGTACTAAACAAAGACTCGAAACAGAAAAAACAAAGGGATTATTTGATAAAACACCCCCATATGCCTTTTATAATTAGTGCAGACCCATTTTTTTTCCCTCTTTTTGAGATAAATCCTAAATTTTATTTATTAACTATTTTAATTATGTTATTTCCATAATACCCTTAATTATTTTCTTGCATAGATCTAACTTTTTATTTAACAAAACATATAATTTAATATTAAATTATAATAAATCAATTACATCTACCCTAATTCTACCACACGTTTTTTTCTCGATTCTTTTTTCTTTCAACATGCGCCCCCTCTCTTCCTCCACAACAGCAGAGATATCTTCCGGTCATCTTCGTCGATGTGAGATCTTCACCACTTCGGCATCATCACCGCCTTAATGTACCGCCTGCGTCTGCCTTCTTGTCATCCACCATATCAGCTGCCGCGGTTCGTTCATCCTCTAGGGCGGGGATCTCCATCTTCCCAGACAACACAGAAAGAGCCGGTGTTTTTTTTGTGATGGGAGCGATGAGATGTACGGGTAATTTGAAAAGTATGGAGAATTTTGATTATTTCGTGTCTTGTGTTTTTTTTTTCGATGGGATCGACGAGATATACGGGTAATTTGAAAAGTATGGAGAATTTTTATTATTTCTTATTCAATTTTTTTTACTTGATTTTCGGAGGCTTTCAAATTTAATTGAATTTTTTTTTTCAATAAATGGGAATGCACAGTTTTTAATAATAATTTAATTTAATATCGTATTTCCTTCCATTCGAATGAAATCTCATGTTCTGTTCGTTGGAGAGAATGTTTAGTCAGTTTCATATGTTAGTAAGTTTTATATGTTTATTTCTCTTTCTAACTTTGTGTAATGGGTTTGGATGAGATTGTAGTAAATTTAAAATTCTTGATTTGTAAATCGATTTTGTTTTGAATGAATTAAATTTACACGTTGTTGTCTTCTTTTTGTTTGGTTCATGTTTTTGCACAAACGGAGTGATGGCAACAAGTAGGACGAGGTTGGGTGATGCTCGGGTGACTCTATTATTGTCTGCAATGACATTGTTTATTAAAAGGGATTTTTTTTTTTTTTTTTTTTTTAGGCAAGTTTTTTATGGGTTTTCTCTTTGTAAAGGGATCTTATGTAGTGGATTTCTATATTTTTGTAGTGGTTTTTGATGAACTTGTAGTGGATTTCAGTTAAAATATACCTGCTCTAGGCGCGAGGAATAGAGGAAGGGGTGTCGATGCGCTTACGGTAAATAGTGGTTTTAGTAAATAGTGGTTTTCGACATTAAAGAGTGGATTACGTTAGAGGGATGGGGTTGACAACGCGTACAGTGTATAGTGGATTTCAAATTTAGGCAGTGAATAGTGGATTCAACTTTAGACCGTGAATAGTGGATAGTGGTTTTTCGAATTCTTACGCGACATTAAATAGTGGATTACGTTAGAGAGAGAGAGAGAGAGAGAGAGAGAGGGAGGGAGGGAGGGAGGGAGGGAGGGAGAGAGAGAGAGAGAGAGAGAGAGAGAGAGAGAGAGAGAGAGAGAGAGAGAGAGAGAGAGAGAGAGAAATCTGGTTTGGAGAAATGTAAATAGAGGTTATATTTATTATGGTATAAAGGCAAGTTAGAGAAAAAAAAATAAAGGATGTGAATCATTTTATTATTTTAAAATTGGGGTGTATGTAAAAAAAAATAGTATGAGGTTTTCATTTAGTTCTAATTTAGTTTGCTAGGAGAGACCTAAGCATATTAACTCCATATATATATATATATATATATATATATATATATATTGCAAATAAGCTCATCATGGGCTACTTATTCATAAAGGGGTTCACACAAAAAACTTTAAAAAAAAATCAACACAATGTTCAGAGGTAAAATACTAAAATACCCCATCATATTTTAAAATGCTCCAACTTTATCATTTAATTCAATTTGGCCCCAGATGTCAACAAGTATTCAATTTTGACCCCTAACTCAATTTTGACTATAATTTCGCCCGTCACCGTCGGTCCCCGGCGACGTTGACCTTTTCTTTTCTTTTTTTGAAATTTTGTTTTCTTCAACATTTTTGGCCCGTCTAAACAGTAATATTGTTGTGGTTGACAGTCGATCATATAAACTATATTGCTGTTTAACACATTAATATTATTATATTACTCTCTAGCACAGTAATGTTAACACAACAAAAATCACTATTTTTGTGTAATAGGGTAATATTAATATGTTTACCGTTCAACAAAGGCAAACATAATAAAAAGCCAAAAGTATTTAAATTTATTTTAGTTCACTAATTGCTTAAAATATATTTTCATTCATTATTGTATAATATATATTACTTTTTAAAATAATTTAATTGTAGTTACTTTTGAATTTTATATGATCCAATAATTATTAGATTGTTATGTTTATTATGTTTTAAATTTGAAAATATAAAATAATTGATGTTGAGGGGTACGTGTTACAAATGGTACTTTAATGGGGTAAGTGTTACATAGGCTAAACTTCAGGGATGTAAAGTGTATTTAACCCTTATTATATCTTATATATAGGGGTGCAAGTTGGAACAAAAATTTCAATTTCCGCCGGTTCCGATGCGAAAAGTTCCAATTTTGGAACAACTTTTTTTTATTCCGACTTCCAAAATTCCGATTTCTGAATTTTTCCGATTTTTTTGGATTGGAATTGGAATTATATAAAATAATTTTGAAATTTCCGATTCCCGATCCGATTTAATTTCTAAATTTTATTCCGAAAAATTCTGATTTGTTAATATATATTATATAATACTTAATTTTCCAAAATATACACCTATAAGTTTTGTTTTAGGATTTTGAGATAATGAATTGTTGTTAGAAGTTTTATTGGATATTATGTTGTGTTTATTTTTATTTATGTTTTTGAACTAAAATTTAGTTATTATTAGTTTTACTTTTATCAACGTGGGATGTTCTTATTTTTGGAAAATTATGAACATTTTCGAAAAATCCTACTAAGTTTTGAAATTTTAAAGCTTATGTGATTTTCGATTTATTTCCGAAATTCCGAAATACCGGCCTGTTGGAATTGGAATGTGATATACCTAAATGGGTCGGCCCAATGGGCCCTCAAATTTATCTACTAATTAGGCCCACTACACGAAAGCCCAAACACCTTCAAAGTAGGGCTTGGGCCCAACAAAGTAAATCCAACCCAATCACCGATATATAAATAGACGGTTTATTCATTTGGAAAGGTACGTTCTCATTATTGACAATTCACCTCGAGTTTTATTCTCTCTATTCTCTCTACGATCCGTACATCTGACTTGAGCGTCGGAAGGGTTTCCGCCGGATCAACCCCCGGCTTAGTTCACGTGTGCTCTTTTCGCAGGGACCTCAGGATCATCGAGTTATCAAGCTATTGATCCGCTTTGCTTTCCCAACTCATTTCCCATACCCCCTAGGTGAGCTACACATTAGCATCATCATTTTAGCATCAGAATGAATTATAAGATTCCGAAATTTTTGGAATTGTAATTGGAATTGATTTTGTACGTCCGATTTTTTTTGGGAATTTTCCGAAAAGGCTAATTTCGAGCCAATCCATCCGACTTTCACCCCTACTTATATATAAAAGAAAGAAACGATAGGGTTAACCCTAAGGAAATTTTAGTAATTTTTTTTCTCTACTATTTTTTTATTATTCAGCTTTCCTATGAACGGCCGCTTAAAAATAATTTTTTTTCCTATTATTTTCCTCGACGATTTTTTTTTATTTATTTTTTGTTTTTTTATTTATTAATTGATTCATTTACTTAACAATCAATGTCATATTAGAAAAATGGAGTTTATATAATCTGTTGCTGAATAGGTTTATAATATATTATCAAATTTGTATGCATCATGATGTAGTTACTGTAATATAAATATCACTAATAAATTTTTTTATTATTATAATTGTTATTGTCACATATTAAATTAATCCTTTGTTCACTTTTAAAAGTATTATATATCCCCACGAGAAAGAATACTGGTACATTTATATTAAAACACATTTGTATAAAGTAACGAGCTGCCACTTCCTAATACATCGTTCCAACGAGATAATTATATAATTCAACCTACACAAATTGGTCCAAATATCAACCATTTGGTAGAACTTGAACCCTCAGAGTATGAAGATATTACATAAGATTTAAATAAATAAATAAATAAAAATTCTAAACAAACTAATAAAAACGTAACGAGCTCAACATTTATTCTTCTCTTTATTGTCTTCTTGATCCAAAATCCTAGTTTAAAAGAAGACGCAAGGCCTGTCTGTATAAGACACAGGCCTGCATAAATTAAACAAAAGAAACAAAAAATTATAGACTAAAGAGATCAAACCACAATAAAAGGTAAAATAGTTGATAGAGGGCCTATATATATATATATATATATATATATATATATATATATATATATATATATATATATATATATATATATATATATATATATATATATATATATATATATATATATATATATATGATGGATGATGATCTAGAGGCCCTGGTCAATGAGATAATCAGCAAGCCTTTCAACAACCATGTTGCACTGTCCAGGTGTCACTGGCTCCTCGTACAGCCCAAAAACAAATGCTTGTCCAGTTTTCTTTATTGTTATTCCCCCAGACCCCTATTTTATTAAAAAAAATTTAAAAAGTCAAAAAACATATATAATTCTTGAATTATTAATAATTGAATTTCAAGAAAGAATTGATGATTTAGTGTATATATGTATATACCTTCTTGCCACGAATGACAGCATTAGGCTCTCCTTGGATGACCATGTACTTTGCTCCGGCAACGAATAGCCCTGTCGGGGCCAGATACCCCGGCTCGTTGAAGTCCGTCACTATGCCCGTTATCTCATCGGGCTTCAACTGCATTCATCTCAAACAAATCATATATTAATTCCCATGACATAAATAAATATAATGCGAGAAAAACAAGGGTTGTCGTTTTTTAAAAAAGAAAAAAGAATACTAAATCTTATGATTCCATATGTTCTACAAGGTCTTCTTATATAGATTCTACATCTGATGAAATACGCGAGATATCATTTCATCATACAATAGATATAAATATATAATCAATAGTACGTTTCATTGGGTCCACTATCCTAACGGGCTGTTGAGTCAACATGATTTACATCCTCCAATTAAACTTGTCAGGCCAGAGGATTTCGCCTTTCGTGCAAGAACGTTTTTCATTGTGGAGGTGTATTTGATTCGATTGAAAGATGTAAGTGAGAAAAACCTGAGGGAAGGCGGAGCTCTGAGCCCAAACGGAGCCGTCGTGTCCCATGATGGCGGCGGAGGCGAGGCGGAGGCCAGCCTGGCCCTCGATGTCGCACATCAAATGATCGTCAACGTAAGTTTGCCACGACATTTTTTTTAATTTGTTTTCTTTATCTCTTGTTTCTTGTTCCAAATTAACTCCTCAAATAGAGAGACACATATAGAGGAAGAGATGTGAGTAGAGTATATATATTGAGTTAGGTTAAATATTAGAGAAAAATAGAGTAATTGAAATAGTAGTTAATGTGAGGAAGTGAGTGGAGAGAGGCATTGCATGATCCTCCATAAGCGCTCCACATACTTTCCACTCAAACTCCTACATTTCAGCCAAGCCATATTTTTTTTTTCCTTCTTTTTTTAAATAAATCAATTAATTTATGGTGAATTTGAGGTATGTCGTATAATGAAATTTTACTACAAATCAACTCACTCTTTAACTTTTATTTTAAATAAATCCACAAAAATATGAATTTCTAAAATAACCCTCATATTTTTATTTGAGATAAGCCCAACCCACCCATCACACCCGGCACCCCACCTGCCCACCAAGCCAATCCGACCCGATCAGGTCTTTCTCACCCCCGAATTGTTTTTATTTTTCTTTTGCAGTGGTGGTCTAGGTTGTCGGAGCTCCGATTAACTGACTCAACATTAGTTAACTTCAACATTAGTTGACATTTGACATTCTATATTTTTTTCTTTTAATTTTTTTCCGGTGGTGGGTGTCGTCAGAGCTCCGATTAGCTGATTCAACATTAGTTAGTTTTACATTAGTTGATATCTTTTTTTTTTTTTCTTTTTTGTTTTCGGCGGAGAGTCGTCGGATCTCCAATTAATTAGCTCACTCAGCATTAGTTAACTTAAAATGTTAGTTAACTTCAACATTAGTTGACATTCGACCTTTTATTTTTTTCCTCTGATGGCGGATCGTCCGAACTACGATTAGCTGACTCAACATTAATTAACTTTACATTAGTTGACATCCTTTTTGTTTTTTTTTTTTTTTCAGCTGCAGGTCGTCGGATGTCCGGTTAATTAGCTCATTCGGCATTAGTTAACTTCAACATACTCGGTTCGAGTTGTTTGTTTTTCATATATGAGCAATTAATTAAAATATTTTGCATGAATACATTCTCACTTCGAGATGTTTGTTTTTATTATTTAGCCCACCCAAATTCCAAATTAATGCAAAAAAAAAATCTTAGAATTCCCACTGCATCCGGATTTGGAAAAATAAAATGAGTTAATGCAATTTTCAAAATTCCGCCGTATAAAGACATTCCAAAATCAAAATGGATTTTTGAATTCCCCAAACGTTAATTGGAACGCATTTTTATGTTCCAAAAAAAATGGAAATTTTCTATAAAAGTCATTTTCGATCAGTTCCGTCCGATTTCCATCCTTATATATACACCTCAAGGAATTGTTTGTAATTTATCCTCGTTTTTATTAACGGTTAAATCTGCACATTATAATTTGCATACAATCATCAAAAGGAGAGTAATTGTAATTTCTTAAACAAATAGTTTGCTGTGATTAGAGCAAACCTTAAGAGGAGGTATCCATAATTCACCCTATTTTTAATGTGTTAACATCATCTTTGACGTAGTTGTTTGTAACATGAATTTTGAATCCCATTCTTCCAGAATCCGAATCCATTGTTTTATACAGCGAAACTAGTCCGTCACAAACAACCCAAATTCCACTTCGGAAAGATATATCAAAATGTAGTAAAATAGTTCAAACGAAATTTGCAAGTATACCATCATCAATAATCCAGAAAAAGCACTGATATCACTCTACCTTATATTTACTTTGTTTTTTTCTATATAAAAGATGGTTTTGCCTTAACGGCTGCAGCAAATAAATTTCACAAGTTCTGCTACCCAAACCCGTAAGTCCGAATTACATTTAGTTAGCCGGAGTAAAAAGAAACTCACTTTTCTTACCAATAGCAGCTTTAAAGGAATAACGAACACCATGAGTGTTATTATCCATTAAGACGATAAGATCTCCCTCTAAATGCCACACCAGAAGTCCTGTCCGCCTGAGGAGCATTGTTCACCGGAGCGCCGATTCTCCACCTTGCAACTATTTTTTGACTTTGAATGCTAGTTAAGGAAATAATTAGAAATCAATAAAAATATATTTTTTCGTGATTTTTCCTGTTTGAATACGAGATAATTAGGTTTAATAGGATTCAGATAAACAGAAGCCAAAATACCAGATAACTTTAAAGCTTCCATCATTAGACAAGCTGCATAAATGAGATCCATATACTTGAAAATGGTGTTCCATTTCATCGACTACTCAAAAATCATCAATGCACGACACATGTACAAAATGACACCATTAATGTACACTTGGCGTATTGATGATCTTAGAAAAGCAGTAGAATATAGGGGATTCAAATTTGCAATGTGCAGGCTTGCACAAGTATAAGCACGCATGTTACCTTTTTTTTTTATTTAGCTAGCAGATACGATAAATCATACTAAATAATGCCGAATAAAAGGATACATAAAGTATGGCGTCTTCAGTATATTCCTCCCACCAGCAAGCGGATGCAATACTGTTAGGAAGTAATAAAGATGGCCAGCAATAATACCCAAAAGATCCGGCACAATCGGAGAACCAAAGATGACATCTAAACAGAGCATTGCCCACGGCAAATAAAATGCCTGAGAGGAAAATGTAAATATTACATTTTACAAGCCCATCGTCAAAAGAGAATTAAGTAAAAAAATTGTTGTAGAGGTCACAAGTAAAATACCTTAAGAGCGAGAAGACCATATAAGTTGATGGTGGCGTTGGGGAATTCTCTACTCCAGATATACAGAAGCATGAATACAAGAGATATCCCTAAAAATGCAGACTCGAAAAATGGTATGGCAGATAAAACCTAAACAAACAGGAAATGGTTACTTATAAAAAATATGGGGGTAACAACAACAACAACGACGTGGAAAATTAAAAGCACTTAGATGAGTGTGAGAACTCAAACTGAAGACAACATTACGATCGTAGAGATTGCTAATCGGAAATGAGAGTAAATATAATTTAAAGGTAACAAACACAAATACAAGTCGAGTTAACTAACTCCCACTGCACAGGAAATATCAAATTTATAAGCTTGAGATAGAGTTTAAACAGAAACTGTGTTCTCTCCTTCAAATATTCTTTACGAAGACTAGGGCATGCAGACGTAATTGCAGATACCGCACATATGAACACACACACACACACATACCAATAAAGAGAGAGCTCCAAACAACATCATCCACAAGAAATCAGCTGTGCGTCTTTGGAACGGTCCAGTTTCCAGTTGAACTCCATATCTTGCTCTACGAAAACAAAAGTCATAATGAAAGCATTATACCACAAAATCTCAGTAGTAGAAACATAGCACAACTAAGTTGCATAAGTTTCTGCAGCAGTGCCAGCCACAAAGCATGGGACTCAAATCTAGATCATTAATCGTGTCAATATATAATCAGGATTTAGTGTTCCATACATCATTAAGAGCCGAATCCCAAAATTGATCGAAAACTTGCCAAGAAAAAAGAAGTTGGTAATTAGTCGCCACACCTGCCGATAAGATTGGAAGGGTATCAGAGAATATACATGTTGCAGAAAATATCCCAAGATGTGCCAATTCAAAAATTGATTCCAGTAAATAATTTCTAAACTCGTTAATTTCTAAAATAGAGTAAGAAAAAAGGGGAATGGGACAATGTCGGTGCAGTATATTTTAAATGAGAAAAAATATCACACATGCATTTGATGAAGTGAGAATTTCAGCACCACTATCAACATAGGTAAGAAACAGTTTCTGCCATCCAGTCTCTCCCTGCTTCAAAGGTCATACAAATGCTTGCAAGATTCGGCAGCACTCAGTCTCGTAGACTGAAATCTCTCTTCAGAGTCTTAGGTGTGAACATTAAAAGTAAAGAACCTCATCTCGTAGTTTCTCTTAACCAAGACAATCTTGAATTTTGATGTAATTTTCTCTTTATTTATTTTGGGAGGAAAAGCGAATATGATGGCTTCCTTAAGGGTTCGTTTGGATTGAAGGATTTGAAATGAATGGATTTAAAATAATTCCAAATGAGAAGGATTTGAAACGACTCCAAATGAAAACCTAAATGGGAAGGATTTAAGATCTAATAACAAAAAAATAACTGAAAATGAGTGCTCAAGTTTTCAAATACATTGTCGAACGATTCGATCCAAACAAGCTTAATGGATTTGAAATCCTTCCCTCAAATCCTCCAATCCAAATTCCAAATGCAACTTAAGTGTTTGCTGATTCCTTTTCTCACTGCTTGATTCTTATATTATTGTTCTAAATTGCTGTTTATTTTCCATTATAAAGACGCAGTGTCAGAGTTCTGAACAGAAAATAGCCACAACTCACATACTAGGATTTGCAAAGTTTAAGTTTCAAGAGGAAATTAAGCAGAACTATGATCAACATACTCTTGAAAAAATATGCATCTTCTTGCCAAATGTTACATTTGCAGTTCCTAAAAATATCCATTTACTTCGTGTGTATGGTTCTCTAGGAGATCAATGAGCTCATTGTGTAGCTAATCCTGCAGTATAAGTCATGAAGTAACCAGTAATCCTCCATGATACATTCAGAAATTTTCCCTTGCACGATACTGCGTGGTTTTTTGGTTAAATTGTGCCCAATGTAGTCTTTATCTCGAAAGATTAATGTGGATATGCAGTGGGACCAAGATTGGAGTCGAGTGTGGGTGGAAGTTGGAGTAAGACATCACATGTGAAATCCATAGATGTCAACTAGCCAATCCTGTTTGTCGGTAAAGAGGGTCTATAGGATATTTAGTCACTAATACACTTCACTATAAAAGTTTTTTTCTTGTGGCATTCCCCAAACAGTGAAAGAAAGACAGCAGGTATATTTAAATTGTATCACAAAAATCCAACTAACTAATTTAATAGTTACATTTGTGCTAATCCTGCCAAAAGGCAGTATAAGTAATCACTAAGTATGCAGACTTATAGAAAACTCCAAACAATAATCAGAAGAACGACTATTTTATTGCCAGCACATTTTTTATGAAGAGCTTAGATACAATACAGAATAAGAATGGAATAGTGAGCTCATACTCAAACGAGAAGTTATCCGTGTACAAGTATCTCAAAGCTAGCAGGATTGTAGCATCGAAATGTATCACAAAAGTCTAACCAATTAGTGCCTTCATAAGGTAGCATACTTGTGCAGAATTATAGAAGATTCCAAACAACAATCAGAAGGACAACTAATTTATTGCCTTACATCTTTCAACATGACAAGCTTTGATACAAAGTTAATATAGATGAACAAAGGCATAGGGTACCCACACACAAACGAGAAACTATCTGTGTATAAGTATCTAAAAGCATTAGCAAGAAGTAAGTTACATACCTGGAAACGCCAAAATGTCACCTCAGGTGCATGTCCAATTAGTTCAGGATGGAGTAGCCCAATTTGACATGCAACAGTTACCATCAAGCATGCAGTCCCATAAGCTTTGGTTATAGGTGGAAGAGACTGATAGTATCTGTGTACAAGAGAAGAACGCAAACCCAAAAGCATCAACGATAAGAAAATTGATTTTACTGAAGTCTGGTCATTCATTAAATTTGCATTCTTGAAAAGAATCATTACTGAAATCGTTCATCAATAAGGGGGGAAAAACAGAGAGAGAGGGAGAGAAACCGGTATAAAAGAAAAAAACTAAAACATCACGGGAAGGGCAAATGTATAATAGATAACAGCTTTAGCAACTGCGAAGGATGGAAAATTATGTTTCAGGATTCCACCTAAACAAGGATGATCCTTTAAACAGCCTAGCTACATAGTAGAATATCGATACTTGTCATACTATTATGTACATTAAACTGATATTGAGTAAAACGACAGCCGCTCTAGACAACTTCACGTGATTTTTGCGTGCTGCAGTTTCCCAATTAAGTGGATTAATGGAATGTTTTACCCAAAGACAAACCACAAAGTGGCAAATACAACAAAGGTCCTAAGTTCCCTAAAAGGCTAACACAATGCCTATTCTGCAGTCTGCCATTCTTCCCTACCTTTATGGACAAAAGATCCTATATTCCAAATCCAGCATCACCGATTTCGATTAACCACTGTGGTGGAATTCCATCAATCCAGCATAACCAATTTCCACCAACCACTGGTGGTCGAATCCTCTTCATTGTCAATATACGTTGCTCGAAATTCATCTTACATGCCTATCAAACTGCAATACACTAAACTAATATGCCAGGAAAACACTAAAGGTACATCATTCAAGAATATTCTCCTGATGAATTAAGAGGGCATTTCATGAATAAAATTATCCACAAGTTTTTGCCGATCATCAACAACGAACACCATACAGCGACTCCCTCTTTCTGACACACCAATCTATTTAAGAAAAACTATATTCTTGACTTCAATCATTCTCTTGGTGCCAACAACATCCTATATTGCAGACAGCCAAATCTTCCATAAGCTTAATCAGAAACATCTAGGTCAGCACCTAAAGTCCTCAATCAGAAACTCAGAGAAACAGTAAAGAACACATCTCATTTTTCACAACATGTATCTCCAGAAAATTCTGCCAGTCAAAATAACAACTCCTCACCCAAAAAAAGCAAAATTCAAAAAAAAAAAATAACTTGTCAATTACAAGGTACCCAGTCATAGAAAAAACACACACACACCAATTAACACACATAGCAAAGGAAACATTCAATTACACATCATAATCACAATCGTAAGCACGATAAAACCGTAATAAGCGTACATATAATGGAACAAATAACAGAGAGAGAGAGAGAGAGAGAGAGAGAGAGAGAGAGAGAGAGAGAGATTACTCAGCAGGTGAAGACATGGCGAAGCTGGAAAATTAGTTGGATTCAACAAGCAACCCAAAGCAAACGATCGACAACTGATAAATCTGTATATGTATGTATGTATGTATGTATGAATATGTGCAGCAAGAGAATGAAGAGGAAAATGCTTAATGGAGAAGAAACAAGTGGAAACAAGGCCGGTGTTGGGAGGGTGGGATTAAAAGAAATAAGAAGAAATGAAACTGAATCGGAGTACCCAGAACCTTCGATATCAAAGTCGTTCCCACGCGCCGACGCCCACGTACTTACTAATTGGTCAATAGGTTTGGATCCGGTTACGGTAACGGGGCTCCATCTCAAAAACCCAGTCGTCCAAATGGGTCATTCCAACTCATTTGAATGATGTGGAGCAGCCGTATTGGTCCAAACCCGTGTTGCCAATTCTAAGAATTTAGGGATTATGTGACAAATCCCCTCATTAGACATATGTAAAAAAAATTCATCTTATTGAGATTAATCAAAATATTTTTATTCATTCATAAATAATACAAATTTCTTATAATATCATTTTTCATTTTTTTTTTAACCATAACTAGTAACCACTGGCTGTCTATTTTTTGTCTAATTTTTCTTCTCTCTTCCTTCTCTCCAATCCCATGCTCCCATGTCTCTTTCTCTCATCACCGGGCCGCTGCCCCGCCCATCAAGCCGATTAGGAATGATTCGCAGATCTAAATCCAACTCAAGGACGGTCTTCCAAATCTGACTTGAGGTTGTCGTCGTTGCCGATAAAATTTTTTTTTTCTATGCATACAGGTGACGCAGGCGACGTCTTCTTCGACAAAAGATTCGCCATCTTCAGACAAAGTCGTCGGCGAAAGAAATGAAGGTTGGATCGGCGGCGAAAAAATCAGAGGCTGGATCATTTGATCGGACAAACTGGGAAATGATAGTAAGTGGTCGTTGCCTTTTTTTCATTTTTTTGTGTGTTTCTGATCTTTCGTGAATCGTCTTTTTGGGTATGGAATTTTGGAACAATTTTGGCTGTTAATGAAACAATTTGTTATTTTCTTGGTTTAATGATGGCGAATTTTTATTTTATTTTTCTAATTTCTAGAGTTCCTGTGATTATAAGTTGGATTGGGATAAACTTGTCTTGTGGTCATTGACTGGTTGATCCATTGTTTAGGCAACTACAGTTTATTGAGCGTCCAAAATGATATCAACGGGATGACATGCTTTGGATTTCATTGGAGAGAAGATGGTGTCCTTTATCATGATTTTATAGTTTCTTTTTTCACTGAAATTTGATGTTTCCTTCTTAGAGTTCACAGTGGTTTCCAATAAAAATAGTTATGTTTGTTGTTTTTTTAAATGTTTACTCGTTTTATTTTTTTTGTTCAAACAAGTTAATAGTGGATTATGTTTATTTAGTAGTGGATTTGCGTTAATTTAATTGTGGATTTACGTTTTTTTATTAGTGGTTTACGTGGGACTACTTTTTTGAAGTGGGTGATGTCAATGATATAGTGGATTCTGAAAAGTTTGTAGTGGATTACGCTAATTTTATATTTCGATTAAATTATTTTCATTGTGGATTTTGATAATTTTAAGGTGGATTTCGATAAATTTATAGTAGATTTCAATAAATATATAGCGGATTTCAATAAATATGTGGTGGATATTTCGATAAATTTATAGTGGAGTTCGATAAATATATAGCGGATTTCGATAAATATGTAGTTGATTGCGATAAATTTCTAGTGGATTTTGAGAAATTTACAGTGGATTTCAATAAATTTATACTAGATTTCGATATATATATATATATATATATATATATATATATATATATTCGATAAATATGTAGTGGATTTCAATTTGATAACCTCGTATAAAACTAAAAAGAAAAAATTATAAAAAAAACTGTAAAAAACAGAAAAAATAATTTTTTAATCAAAATAAAAAAAAGGACAATTTAATAAAATATTTTATTTCTAAAAAAAAACTGAAAAGAAATCAACAAAACCAATTTTTTTAAAATTGAAATTAGAAAACCGAAATTAAAAATAAAACCAACTTTTTATAATAAAATAGAAAAATATAAATAAGAAAAAAAAATTGAGTCCACTGGACTTATGTCAAAGACCGAATTAAAATTTGGATTTATCGTAATAGAAAAGTTCATTGAAGGGGTTTTGTCATATAGCCCAAAAATTTAATGTATAACTTAACAGGAAAGACTTTTTGAGCTAAGGTCAAATTATAATAACTATTTGGGAAAATTTCACTTTCTCTCCTTGTACTTTGGCTCGATATCACTTTATCCCCTTCTACTTTCAATTGCATCGATTTTCCCCCTTTACTTCAAATTATGGAATTAAGGCTGATTAATGGTAATTGATTTTATAACATACGTACGATAATTAAAGACCACGATGGGTGGAATTTGTTTTCCCGTTATAAAGAATCGTTGCCCTCTTCTCTCGTCTAATCAATAAACGCCACAACTCTTCTCCTCAGTACGGACAATTGAGAATTCCATCACTTACATAAACCTTAGCGAGTTGTGATATTGGAGAGATAGAGAGAACAAGGTGTACCTATGAGTAAGGTTCTCACGAAAAGGTTTGGAGGAGGATGCATGATTGCTATCGTTGTTGTTCATCATATCCCTATCGGAATCCATAGTGAACGGTATGTCGATAATCCCAATTAATATGATTATGTTCTTAAGATAATAATGATTTCAAGATTTTGTTCATATGATTTTCCACATAAAGTTAAATAAAAGACTTTCAATGTAACCAAATGGGAAGTGGTAGCTTGGGTGGTTGGGAGGGGAAGTAGACCGTTTCCTCGAGATTGAGCCAGGTGAGCAATCGAGTGATTAGTATGAAAATTGTTTGGAGGTCGACAGTCAAGAACATAACAATTATCATGTGTGAACCGCCCTTACTGCAGTAAGTACGATAAAATTTGGAGCCTCTTCCATTCCATTTTTAGCTGTCTCCTAGCCGATTGTATTTATATACCGCTAGTAAATCTTTCGTGTAGAATGTCTTCGCCTTAATCCAAAGTGTATAGAAAGTTTTGAAGGAGTGGAACAAATTGAGGCTGTGTTTGGTAAGCTTTTGGGCTTCCATTTCCATTTTATTTTGGGGAAAGATGTTTTGGGAGAAGAATTTGAAAATTAAATAAAGTTTGTTTGTGTTTTGGGAGGAGACAATTTGTACTGTAGCAAGTCAAATCATGTCTGAAAGGTGTTGGAAAAAGGTATTTTGGAAGAAGAATTTAAAAGATAAAGTGATTTGATTTTGTATTTTAGTGAAGACAATTTTCACTGTAGCGGTCAAATCATGTTTGTTAGAGAGAGAAATAATTGAATTTGTTTTGGGGAAATTTTTTGAAAATAGTGTAGAAAGATAATTTTCATTTTGGGGAAAGTGTGGAAAGAATTTGAAAACGGTAAAAAACATAGCCTGAATATTTTTTGTTCAAGGTACTTGATGATGCTAAATACTTAAATCACCTAGGGTCGTGTGGTAAATGAGTTGGGAGAGAAAAGAGGATCACTAGCTTGCCAATTGGATGGTCTTGAGGTCCCTGCGAAAGCAACACACGTGAACTAAGCTGGGGGTTGATCCGGCAGAAATCCCTCCGACGCTCAAGTCAGATGTACAGATCGTGGAGATAGTAGAGAGAATATGAGCTCTAAGATAATATTGAATAATGGAACGTACCTTCACAAATGAGTAAAAACCTCTATTTATATATCGTTGATCGGGTTGGGTTTACTTTGTTGGGCCCAAGCCTTATTTGAAGGTGTTTGGGCTTTCGTGTAGCGGGCCTAATTAATAGATGAATTGTGGGCCCATTGGGTCGGCTTAATTAGGTATATCATTAAGCCCTCCAACTCTTGAGTCGAGGCGGGAGACTTGTCGAAAGGGTGTCGGATCGTGTCGAGAGTTAAATGTGTCGTAGTTTGACTTGTTTCCGTTGTCGTAGAGTTATTTCGTAAAGAGGGGGTAATATATTTATTTGGCAAGAAGATATATATTTAAGGTTTTCAAATATCATATCAATGCCAAATAAATTGAGTCCTTTTAAGGTGGAGAGAAGTAAATTCTAACTCTTGTGTGGAATAAGTATGGGTAAGTATTTTTATTTTTTGGGTATTTCTCTGTGTTCTTCCTTGTATATTTTTGTGGTACAGGTAGAATTTATTCTTTGGTTGAGCATATCGTCGGAAAAAAGACTTTTATCATGACGAGTTCAGGTAAATCGAAATCCTTGCGAATCAAATTTTGAGATCCGGTGAGACAGGGTGAGGTGCATTTTGGTACCGTGGGTATGGAGCGCGAGAAGCTTGTAGTGTCGGATGCGAAGGCTGTTACGCGGATCGAGGGGAGAAGAGGGGAGGTTGGTGGCGCCGTCGGCTCGGCTTGGACCGCGCTGTCAGCAGGGAAAATTTGGGTGAGGGCGCGCACCTCGAGGCGGTTGGTGAGCCGTGTGAGGAGTTGGAGCCGGCGGCTTGTACGGCGACCGAGGAGAGGAGAGAGAGAGAGAGGCGCGCGCGTCTGGGCCAAGAACCGAGGGAAGTACGCGCGCATCGGGCACAATAACCGAGGGACGCGCGTCGGGTGTGGAGAGAGAAACGCGTGCGCGTGTCGAGCATCGGGAATGCACGGGCACGATTGATGCGTGCACGGAGGGTGAAGCGCGCGTCTGAAACGACACGCGCGCATTCGGCGTGCGAAGCAAGAGCGATGCGCGCGTGGTATTCGGCAGTGATGTTGCTGCACGTGCATGCGCGTCTGGGGGGGGGGGGGTTGTCGCACGTGACCGCGCGTCTGGGGGGTTTCTCGTGCGCGTGACGTCGCGTCGGGAGGCTTTCCTCAGCGCGCGTCGTGCGAGAATGATGGGCAAGCTGATGAGCGTTTTGGTGCAGTTGATGATTTGAATGGGATGAGTTTCGGATGGCGAGAACCATTGATTCTTGGAGTGTTGGTACCAGTAGACGTCGATATCGACGTCAATTCGTGGATGTTGGGAGTGATAGTGAAATGTTAATTCATTCAAGTTCGTCGAGTGAGCCTGCCGGATCGAATAGTGAAATGGAAACGATGGTTGAATTGGAGGAAGAAGATGATATTCCGCTGGGTGATATTGAAATGGATACAATGAGGCAAAAGAAGACTAAGCCAATCAATCTTGATTTAGTTGATGTTGATAGTACGTTGACTGAAGAGCATTTGCGTACTATTCGTCGGCTAGTTGGAGTGCCAAGGAATATCGAAACTCTTTTGCCTCAGAAGGGCGAGCATTTGTATTCACCACCTGTTCGGTTTCATACCGTGTATTTGGCGTATTTGATGTGTACTTCCCAGATCACATCGCATCCGACTTTGTTGAAAATATGTGACGAGTTCAAGATAGGGTATAGTTAGTTTTTTCCGACTGTGGTTCTTATGTTTGAGGCGTTTCACCATAGGATGTCGGAGGTGGGGTTGCCTATTAGTGTCAATTTGTTCAAGGCGTTGTTTACGTTACATCGACCAAACAATTTACCCTTCTTTGTTGCTCATCCGCAGGTTCCCTACAAGTTTTTGAAGAGTGTGAAGTTGTCATGGGGAGATTGGAAGTCCTGTTTCTTTATGTGAAGACTCCCTCTTTTGACGTTCGCCTAATTTGGAACCCCATGTGTGAGAACTTCAAAATTACAGAGCATATGGCTAGGAGGATCAGAGAGTCTGGGTTGTGTGATGTGGAGTTTAATCCGAAACAGCTGATCTCGGATGGTCTGCGACGCATATCATTTTGTTTTATCGAATGTTCTTATGCCACTTTTTTTGTGTACTTAAGTTTAATTTTGTTTGATGTGCTATTCTTCAGTTTTATTGATCTTTTGTCTTTATTTTTGCAGGTGATTGTATTGAATTTGCGGCGCTTCAAGCTAAGGCAAGTGGGGCTTTAAATAAGTCATTGAAAAAGGCTCCATTGAATTTGGGAGGGTCTTCCAGAGGCTTGTCTCGAGAGATGGTCTGTGTTGAAATTCCTCGGGTGGGTGAAGATGGTCGTACCTATGACGGTGAATTGGAGGTGCGCGATCCCATGAATGACATCAGCAAGGGAAAGGTTGTGGATACCAAGTACAGTAGAACCTCGATAAATTAATACCCGATAAATTAATAACCTCACTTAAATAATAAATTTTTCGGTCCCGACTCGGGGATAACGTGATAAATTAATAATTCGCTAAATTTATAAGATAATACACATTCGAAAAATTTAAGAAGCCCCATATAATATATAAATTAATAATGCATAAAAAAATATTCTTAAATTACTTGGTATAGTACATATTTTATAGATCTACAAAAGCGTAATACAATATAATTTAATTGTTGTTTGTTTCTTCTTGAAGTTCACATTACCATCAATCTCGTCCCTCAC